TTTCAATTTTTTTCTTTTAGCTGGAATTCCTTAATGTTTATTTCTGTGTGTATGACAGGAGTTCTTTACCATTATATATTTTTTATTTTGTTAATTCAGGTAAACACAACGCACAGCACAAAGCTTCAACAGCAGCCGTCTTCCACATCCCCACTCTCTAGCCCAAACCAAACAAACTCCGAGCCACGTCCCTTGCCGGCTCCAACAAGGCCCAAAGTCAACAGTATCTTGAACCTGTTTGCCTCCTGGCTGTTTGACGCTGCTCTGGTCCAATGCAAGCTGCAGAATGGGGTTAATCGAGACAGTAGTATGACAGGTATGCCAGCATGTAGTACCTTTTGCCCATTGTCTCCTCTCAGAACGTACCATACTTCCTTCCTGCAAGATTAAACTGCTAGTAGGTGAGCAGGTGAAGGAGGGATGGACGTAGATGCATCTGTGACTTTATTCACCCTACCTGCATAGATGAAATGAATCGTGTTGCCCTTCTGAGCTATATCCGTGCACTGTTATCTAAAATGTATGTATTCATACCCTGCTCTTCACATCTCAATACCTGTTTATAATATCTACGTGATGATGATACACCATTAATGTTGCAGACTAATTCCTGCAAAGGGAAGGGAAGTTAGGCACTGATTTATTTATTTTTCTTTAGTTATGAAAGTCTTGGTCATGTGATGGTGATGGATCAGTTCCACCAAATTTACCAAAATACATGGTGGTCCAATTTAAGTCAAAACTCAGTAGGGTGTCCCTTTTATATTAGATGGTTATGGCAGTGTTGGTTGACTTGACTAGTAAGAATCTTACTGCAGGTCTTGTCAAATCTTACTGCAGGTCTTGTCAAATCTTACTAAAATCTAGGCGTCCGCTCAAAAGTTAGGAGCCAGCAATACCGTACCATTGATATGGTTTACCCCCATAATATGAGCATTCATATTAAATGGCTCTCTGAAGACCTCTCCTTCTCACTGAATTAGTAGCTACACTACACTTTCTATAAGGTCTGATTTTTATGTAACTTATCTGAATTGCTTTGATCAACATTCGCATGGGTACCTTGCAACAATAACTGGCCAGTTCAACGTGCCCTATGCATTTATTCATCCCAAATTTATATAATTAGCACAGTGTGTTGAGAACTGGCCACAGGCAGTCATCCTGTATTGGAAATTAGCTAATAGGTTTAAAGAACAACTGTACTTATACACTAAATATCCATAACCCTCATACCTCCTGAACTAACCTACACTAACACCACACCCCAGCTGCTTACTTAGCCCTGTCGCAGAGCCACATTCTGCTGCACTGTTAGCTCTACTTTGGGCAGAAATCCTCTTCGGGTCTGGCTTGGCCTGTGCACTGAGACCTTGTAGACTTGTATGCTGTCATTCCAGAATGCAGCTCCAGTGCCTGGGTTGGTTCGATACAAGTCTGAGTTTTCATAGCACAGAGTAGGCTGATCCTGAGGGGGTCCAAGTTGGAGTAAACTGTGCCATAGGATATGCTCCAATACAGGGGTAAGCTGTGGTGGTGGGGATAAAGAGCTTCATTATACAGGTGAAACTCGAATAATTAGAATATCGTGCAAAGTTCATTTATTTCACTAATGCAACTTAAAAGGTGAAACTAATATATGAGATAGACTCATTTACATGCAAAGCAAGATAGTTCAAGCCGTGATTTGTCATCATTGTGATGATTATGGCTTACAGCTCATGAAAACCCCAAGAACCCCAAATCCACAACCTCAAAAAAGTAGATTATTACATGCAATCAATAAAACAAGGATTGTACATAGAACAATATTGGACCTCTGAAAAGTACAAGCATGCATATGTACTCAGTACTTGGTTTAGGCCCCTTTTGCAGCACTTACTGCAATTACTTTTGCACGATATTCTAATTATTCGAGTTTCACCTGTATATGCACAGCTGTGCTTTAAAAGCATTCTAAAGAGACACTTCAGGAGTTTAGGTTGTCTTCCTTATTATATTATATTCTGCTCTGAGTTTTCCTAACTTGACCAGGTATAGATCGTATGGATATGGCTGGGAAGGGACCAGTTCATTTCATTAGACCAGTTATACCCCATTAAGTAGACACCATCCTCCATTTTTGTGATTTATTTTTCCATTGTTGTGCCCAGTGTACCCCCAAACTCACACGTCACTGTCACACAACCCCTCCCATCTTTATTTATTTTGTTTTTTCCTTTTTTTTTTTTTATTTTAAAGGAAAAATTAGAGTAAGCCTTCCTTCTTTAAATTGAACTTTACACCATAATTTAAAGTACTTTCTTGTAACTACTTCTGTCCTTTTGATTTCTTTCCATTTTATTTCTGTTATCTTGCAGCATCTTTTATCCAAATTCTCCTTTCTTATAAATCTTGTAAGTAGGAATCTGTAGCTTATCCTCAATTGCAATCATTTTATTCTCAATTTTTTTATTTTATTTTTTTAATATGTCCCGATAACCGCTCGCTTTCTTCCTAACATTGTCGTGGTCTTGTTGCTTTTTTCTTTTATTCCCCGTTTGTTTTATTTTATTTTGCTGAGTATCCATCATTCTCTGTTGCTTTGTGGGGGTAAAAAAACAAAACATTTCATTCCTTGAGTCCTGTCCTGAATGGGAACGATTATTGGTACAGAGACAAACCCAGTCTGTTTCCAATCTTCCCCATTTGTTTCATGTCATGAATTTGAGGAATTTGCACTAACCATGGATATTTAATTTTTTTCGTTTTCATTCCTTTTTAGTTATTTTCATCTTCTCTCTGGATGTACTGTATGATCTATGTGCATGTAGTTCCTTTTATTTCAATAGATATCTTGGTGTAGTATGTTGGTAAAACCTGCATCCAACGTAGGGGCTCATGGGAAAAAATGCATAAAGCTTTTTATCTATTTTTTTTTTTTTTACATTTTTTTTTATTACAGAAAATGCTGTAATAAATGCTAGAGTTGCTATTGTCAACTTGTCGGTTTTCCAGGTGACTAGCATTGCCTAAAATGTGTGGCAGAGATTTTTATTTTGTGTCTGACTTTTTAAATTGTTTTATAGGTTGTTTTTGTTTTTTTTTAATTTAGCTCCCTTCTGTTTTGAAGTAATCCTGTCATATAAATGTGGCATTAGATATGGTACAGTATGTAGCCAAAAGTATGTGGGCACCCTTTTAGATTTTTGAGTTTAGGTGTTTCCAGTGAAGGGTACTATTAAATGCTACAGCATACAAAGACATTTTAGAGAATTGTGCCCTTCCAGCCTTGTGGTAACAGTTTGGGGGAAACAAAAATGGAGGAAAGGAAGCGCCACGACCTTCCTCCCTTTTTTGTTTCATGCTTACACATGTCGGACATCACGGTCCGTACCACTAGGAAGCTGCACACCGCCTCCACCCCCTGCCCATACATAGAATTGTGCGTGTGTGAACACCCTCTTCAGAGTTCGGGACAGTCCCAACAATTTTTCATCTGGTAACAGTTTGGGGAAGCCTCTTTTCTGTTCCAGCATGACTGTGCCCCTGTGTACAAAGCCAGCACCAGCTTTGTGCACATGCAGCACTTCATAGTTACATAGTTAGTCAGGTTGTAAAAAGACACAAGTCCATCGAGTTCAACCTAAGTTGATGCTGTAACAGAAAAGGGCCTTCCCCAAACTGTTACCACAAGGTTGGAAGGGCACAATTCTCTAAAATGTCTTTGTGTACCCTTCACTGGTTTGATAAATTTGTTGTAGACGGGAACCCTGATCTCGACCCTTCGAACATCATGAGGACAAATTGGACTGCAGATTGCTAGCCAGGTACAAATTCAGATACTTCCAAATCTTGTGAAAAAGCGTAGACGCTCTTATAGCTGCCCTGGGGTTTTGGAAATTAATTTCCAAAAAGCTCATATAAGTGTAATGGTCAGGTGTCCATAATTTTTGGGGCATTTAGTGTACTTTGGCTGCCCCAAAACAGGCCAATAAAAGCAGTCAATGGTCTTCTTCATTTTTGGGCTCACACATATGGAGAACCCGGCGAGTGTTTTAACATCATCCAAACTCTGGGTTGGAAAATAAGAAAGGGTCTGCACATATGGCCTCTTTTAAAGGTTACAGGGTTGCTGGATCATTTTCTGTACCCGGTGCCTGACTGTATTTTACCACATTAATGCTCAAAGTGCAGTCAATTGTTAATGCACAGAGAGATTTTAGGACTGACTGCATCTGAGCAGCTTTTCCTCTGCTTTGCCATCCATTTAAGTTACCTAAAACGCCAATAAATAGAACCACCTGACTCTGAATATAATGCATAACAAACGCTACCCTGATGTAGTGTTCAAACGCCTATCCTCACTGATATTTAAAGAAAACATTAAATTGGAACAGTTAAACTTGTGCTAAAACGCTGTCCATTGACATGAACCCTTAGAATGGTAGAGTGAAGTCCAAACTTCACAGACCCAGAAAGCACCAAAGCTATTGAAACAATATGGCAGCCCAGGTAACAAGCATTTGTAGAGGGACAGGTCAGCAATGACCGCCTCCCTTGGTCAGTCCAGTCAACAGAATTTACTGATGGGTGTAGTTCTGAGGCTCTACTTGATTGGATAGAAGTTTAATGTAAGGTTAGGTAGACCTTGGCCATTTAAAAAAAAAAAATGTTGCTGTTGGTAAATTTTGTTAGTCCGACAGATCTTCCTGGTTTGCTCTGACTGAGATTCATTGACACATCTGTCTGATCTTGACTGTGAACTAGCGGCTTTCATGCTAAAGCAGCAATTCATAGACGCTGCTCTATTAGGTGGTCATCAAAGATCAATAGAAGGGAAAGACTATTGCTATCTGGCAGCCTTTAAAGTGGACCTTTACACTCAAAAATCAAATTCTACCATTGCATCCCTCTATGTATGATGATTAAAAGAGAACTACGGGGTAAGTGATTTTCCCCATAGTTCTTTTAAGGGTCACGGGAGGGCACAAACTAACCTCCTCCTGTGACCCAAAGCTCAATATATAACTGGCGGTATACTGAGACCGCCGCAGCCGGGACAGATCCCGACATTACTGAGATCCACCCAGCTGTGTGAGTGACAGCGGGCTCTGCCTATCTAGAGACAGCGCCAGCTGTGCCCGCCCCCTCACCCGTCCGTTCCTTCAGTCAGCGCTGGAGGATCGGAGAGGGAAGGGGGGAATCCCTGTGGGGAGCGGCGACTGACAGTCACCACTCACTGCAGGGAGATGATCGAGAAGTGAGCAAGGGACGGTATGTGTTCACTCAGTTCCCATATCTATTGAGCCGACGTGTGATAGTTTCATTGTCACACATCGGCTAGAACTATGAGGATGAGTGATTTTCACTCCCCTCATAGTTCTCCTTTTAATAATAACATAGGCATGTCAGGTGCAAAATGCTGTGATTTATGAAATACTTACACTTGCAGAGCATTCACTGCCTGCTTTAAAACATCAAAATTACTTCAGTTTGGCAAAGCAATGCACACTGGGATTGCCTTGTCATCAGCAGAGCATTGCTGGGAAATCTCATCTGTAATCTCACAAGGGATGATGTGCATGGTCACATGTCCTAGTCACATGTGCCAAAGATCCAGGAAGTAAAGGGAGATCTAGTAAGCTGCCCTTAGTAAACATGGGCACTGTCAGACTGGGGAAGAAAAGAGAAACAAGGTATCCAAAGAATACAAAGCCGGCAATTATCTAGAAGTATGTGTTTGTAGATTGTTATTACTAAACATTTCTAAAGGTGTGTTTGTTTGTTATTTTAAGATATGGGTAAAGATCCTGTCTCTGAAGCAATGTCGCGTCAAATGTCCCCTGACCTTGTGCTCTGTTGACCCCCTCTGGTCATGTCACCGTGCATCAGAAATGCAAAATTCCCTTCTGTGTATCGGGTGCAGGTTTTTTTTGGGTTTCAGTGGTGATTTAGTTATGAAAATGTCAGACAGGAAGATTGCTGCATAAATGATCTCTTCAGCAAAAAATACTAATCTGTATGCATGTTATCTTGCTTGATTTTGAGATGACATCAGATGCTTTATGCATGTAATCTTGCTTTGCTTCACATTCAGCCTTCAGTGCCTGCAGTTTTATATTTGTGTTGCTTTTAGTCCTTTGTATGCATTTGAAATGTTTGTTGAACCGATAGATTCTCTTGTAGTCGGGATGGGATTGTTTTTATTTATTACCAAAGTATTGTACAGTCCATACATTACTACAGTACAAACATTACAATCAATACTTTTTTTTAAATGACCAATGTGCTTCAAATACAAGCTCACTTTTAAGGAGCTGAGAACAACTACAGCAAAATTTAGAGGTTTATATGGAAAGTTTTAAAATGTTTTCTGAATGCCTACATATTTTTAGATCGGTGGTGGACACATTAATTTAGAATTCAGGAGCCAGTCAGCCCAGGGTATGGGCCAACAAGCAATTAATCAAAATAAGACTCTAGTGGTGGAGAAAACCATATATTGCATGAGGGATTGTTGTAGGATTCCCTTGTTTTATCTATGTTTTTTTAGGGTATTTTGTGGTATTAGACAAGCGCCATTCTCATACTCCCCAGCCCAGTCCTTTGAATGATGCAGATTTAAAGAGATTAGGTAAGGAGTTTGGTATTTGCAGTGATTTTGTGAGACATTGACTGACAGAGCTGAAGGTCAGGCAAGCAGCCGAATGCACAATTGGGATACATATATGCCAATTGTTTTTATTTTACTGCTCCAAGCTCACTCCCGTGATGGACTACAATCTCAATACAAATTAGTAAACTAAACATGAGATTGTAGTCCATCACAGGAGTGAGCTTGGAGCGGTGGCTACTTTACAACACACACACAGGGACCATGGGGTACAAATGTAGCCCCCCTCCAGAAGGAAGGATGGTGTCGGCACCAATTCAGAGATGATTTGAGGCTCTACAGCCGAGTGATACACAAATAAGATACATTTTTGTTAATAGTTGAATGATTTAATTCCTGAGTTTAGTGTCACTTTAAAGCTTTGTTACTGCTAGTTAAGCAAATGTCCATAGTCTGAGCACAGATTGATGGTTTCCTAGCTGCCACCCGTAGGTAGGCGGCTTCCCCTAGCTGCTGCTTGTAAATGGGCAATTTCCACTAGCTGCCACCCTTAGATTGGTGGCTTCCTCTAGCTCCACCTGCAAATTGGCAATTTCCATCAGCTATCACCCATTGATCACTGGCATCCCCTAACTGACGCCCATAGTTTGGTTGCTTCCCCTAGCTGCTGCCTGTAAATTGGCGATTTCCACTAGTTGTCACCCATAGATTGGTGGGTTTCCCTAGCTGAGGCCCATAGGTTAGTAAGACATGTATTTGCTGACGTTCAGTATTTTCAGCCATGTAAATATGCAAACTTTGTTAAAGGAGAACTATGGGGTAAGTGTTTTTCCCCATAGTTCTCCTACGGGTCACGGGAGGACACAAACTAGCATCCTCCAGTGACCCAAAGCTCAGTATACCGCGAGCTGCAGCTATACTGAGACCGCCGCAGCCGGGACGGATCCCGACATTACTGTGGAGATCCACCCGGCTGTGCGATTGACAGCTGGCTCTGCCTATCTAGAGGCAGAGCCAGCTGTACCTGCCCCTCCCCCGTCCGTTCCGCCAGTCAGCGCTGGAGGATCAGGGAGGGAAGGGGGGAATACCTGCGCAGAGCGGCTACTGAGAGTCACCACTCACTGCAGGGAGATGATCGAGAAGTGAGCGAGCAACGGTATGTGTTCACTCCCCGAGTTATTGAGACAATGTGTGACAGTTTCATTGTCGCGCGTCGGCTGGAACTATAAGGCTGAGTAATTTTCACTCACCTCATAGTTCTCCTTTAAAGGCAAATAACGATCGTTATAGCTTACTGAATTGAGCCTAATGTCTGAATGATTTATTACAAAGAGCTTACTTGGCAAATGTTAAGATTAGTATGAAAGATCTGGCGTTTGGCAATGTATTCATATACAGATATTCTAGTTTCCGTGTAATAGATATTTAAATTATTCATAGCTTTCATCAGATTCAAAGTACAGTCTGACAGCTGTGTGATTTGTAAGAAATGCTGATGTATTTAGGTTAGTGGGTTTTTTTTTATAGCTTAGTTTCCAAGCATTAGTTTAAAGCAAACCTGTAATTTTGTAATGTGCTTTGATAATGGGAACTTCTGTCTGATTTTCTACATACTTCTGTGCTCATCAGGGACTGCATATATGGGCAGCACTTTCCATGCATTCTCTCTATTTACTGGTCCTGCATACTAGGGAGAGTCATTGTGCTTATCCATATGGGTCTTGGCAATGGTGGAGTGAGGTTCCTGCAGAATAAGTCAGATGATTCGGACCTCAGGTCAGGTTGCAGTATATCACTGGTGTGGGCCACTATAAAATCAGGGCCCTTGGGGGTTTTTTTTTTTCTGTTGCATCAACTGTGTCCAGAGACACTTGCTATGCAGTCATGTGAAGTCATGCGTAGCGCAGCTGCAGTCTCCTACTCCCACTGGTTTGTAGAAGCCTCCCTTAACTTTGCCATGGCCTCTAGCAGTCTCCCATAAATTGGCAGCTGCCCTTAGCAGACTCCCTTAAATGGGCACCTATTCTTAGTTGTTGGCTGTCCTTAGTTTTGACTTGTAAATAGTACCCAGCTACCATCTGCAGGTTGGCAGCTGCCCCTGGCTGTCGCCCAGGAGGTTGGTGGCTGGCCCTAGCTGTCGCCCGAGAGGTGGACTGGAAGTTGCCGGCTGCCCCTGGCTGTCGCCCGGGAGGTTGCCGGCTGCCC